GACTGTTGACCTCTAATGTGTATTTCATGCACCTATTAACAGGCTTTACTAATGGGTTTGCAAGGCTGGTTCTGTGATCCATGCTTATTGCAGCGAATCATCAGACTTAGGATAAATTAGATTAAGTTAAATGTAGATCCTTCAGTTCGAAGACGTCACGGTACACTGCTAAACTTCTGTTAAACTGACAATAAATGAAGGGGCCAAAATGTCGCTTGCACTTTTCTGGAGTGCGAATGCAGTCCAGAGAGTTGGTCACCTAAATTGTCACCTTGTCGTGATAGTCGGACTTCTGTACTGCAATGATCCTGCGGACTATACTGACTGACTCAGTTCCTAGAGGTTCAAATATCCCAGGAAGGCCCACGGGGAGCAGCCCGGCGAAGAACAATTCCCCGTACTGCGAGTAATCGTATTGCGAGGTGGTCTGGAGGCAAGGTCGTACTGTCATCTGCGGTAGTGGTTTGAAGGTAGCAAGGTGTGCCCTCAGGCGACCAGCATATCCATGTTTATTGAAGCAGCGATACTGCCTTCTCCCGAGGAAGAACGGCTTAGAAAAGGTCGGCCCTAAAAACCGCACAATCCGATCGCCCCACGTTTGGCCGTGGCCGACGGTGCTTTACTCAGTACGGTCGAAATACTTGTAAAATCACAAAACCCTGTGCTGCTCAAAAGGTACCTGCTGCGCACACCTACATTAGAGTAGTGCCTAACCCTCTGAATCCTCGGGCCAGATCCACCCCCTGCAGCCTGGTGGGTTAGACTGTCGAGTTTGGCTCCGGGAAGGGTCCCAAAAAAGCCCTGACAATCGCTGTCTGGCGGTTCAGACTTTTGGGTCGGAGGCCTAAAGAGGTTCGTCCAAGAAAACCCCACTGTCTGCTGCCTCGCGGGTCAGATTTTTGAGTCAAAGGCTTGAGGTGGGGGTGCCCCAACCAAACCTTGTTTGGCTTGGGCAATCCTGAAGTATCATTTGCTGTTGCAGCTCTTTGCTCACCGGTCCTCTTCCACACTTATCCCACTCATCAAACAATGCAGTGCGATCAACTCATCTGCCAATCTTCTGGCCATTGTTCCTTGTGTCACTTGTCACCCAGAAAAATAAACCAAAACGGTCATTTATTTACCTCAAAAGATCTGATCTACGCTGCAGCCTTTAATATCCATTGTCGAATTGCGCAACAGGTATCCCTTATTGTAACCTTGCTTCCCCTATCAATCGATGTGTGTTGTGTCTCCGAAACACGTATACATGACCCCGCTTTGATCTTGTACCTCTAGCCGCTTAGGACGAACTCACATGTTCCACATTTCACTTTCCGAATATCCGGTGACCCTGACACAATGCTTCGTGGTGTTTATGGTGTGAGGGTTGCATTCAACCCCAAGGCTGAAAGCGCCCTACTGGACTGGATCCCAAGAAACAGTAGTCTTTGCGCTGTGCAGTTGTCTGGCTCAATTGAAATCAATTCAGGTCGATGCGGTAAACGCTGTTCATTTGTCGTATTACCATTGGCCTCAACAGCTTGCAGTAATGCGACTGATAAGGACGAGTTTTTATCAATATCTGTCACGACGGCTTCGGTCTCCA